GTGGCTAAGATATCTCAACCTGATGAAACTTCTGAAGAGCAGAAACTGTAGTATATCTATAGATGACATTGATTTTTTATTTAGACTCCAGTGGCTGGTACATGCCTTGTATTTGGAGGATGGGAATTACAAGGATCAGTTCTCTTTGTATTTACTCATTTTCTTTACGTGCTTTGGCCCCCTTAAATATTTTTTTTTAATTTACCTTTTACATCTAGTTCCTTAACAGTATCTTTTTCTTTGTTACCTTCGCCTTCATCAACTGGCCATTATTTTGATCCATCAGTGCACCTCCCTCATTTCTCTGGCCTTCCTTTCCCTTATTCCTTGACATCTTTTCCCCTGTTTGGGCCTCTTGTTTGTTTGGTACTCCTGTCTCATTTTTCTTTTCTTGGGATTCCTGTCCTTCACGAGCTTCTGCCTCATTCGTCTTCCCTTGGATTTCCGGTCCTTTTGGTCCTAACGCCTCACTCTTCTTGGCTTGGGTTTCTGGTCCTTTTGGTACTAATGCCTCACTCTTCTTCGCTTGGGTTTCTGGTCCTTTTGGTCCTAACGCCTCACTCTTCTTGGCTTGGGTTTCTGGTCCTTTTGGTCCTAACGCCTCACTCTTCTTCCCTTGAGTTTCCGGTCCTTTCAGTGCTAGTGCCTCATTTTTCTTCTCTTGGGCTTCAGGTTCTTTAGTCACTCTTGCATAGGATTCCTGTCTTTTTGGTAGTCCGACTTCACTTTTCCTTATTCGGGACTCCTGTCCTTTAGGTTCTCCTGCCTCGATCTTCCTCTCTGGGGCCTCGGCTCGCTTGGACGTGCCCATCACACCCCTCTGGGAGTCCTGTCCTTTTGGTATGAATACTTCACTGGGCTTTATTTGGGACTCCTGTCCTGTTGGCTCTCCTGCCTCGATCTTCCTCTCTGGGGCCTCGGCTCGCTTGGACGTGCCCATCACACTCCTCTGGGAGTCCAGTCTTTTTGGTATGGACGCTTCACTCGGCTTTATTCGTGACTCCTGTCCTTTCGGTTCTCCTGCCTCGATCTTCCTCTCTGGGGCTTCAGCTTGTTTGTCTGCTGCCATCTCATTCTTTTCTTGCGATTCCTGTCTTTTTGGTACTGTTACCTCACTCTTATTTATGAAGGGTTCCTGTCTTTTTGGTACGAACACTTCCCTCTTTTCTTGGACTTCAGGTTCTTTTGGAACTTCGACCTCACTTTGCCTGACTTTGCGTTCCTTTCCTTTTGGAATTTCCACCTCACCCCTCTTCACTGGGGATTCCTGTTCTTTTCGTAATGCCACCTTAGCATTTTCTTGGGCATTCTGTTCTCTCGGGACTCTGGCATCGCTCTTCTTCACTGGGGATTCCTCTTCTTTTAGTATTTCAGAGTCGCTCTTTAACATGATCTCTATTTCTAGCTTGTCTTCCTCCAGTGAAATGCCATTTGGCTCTTTTGTGTGTGTTGGAAACAAGGATTCATAACACTCTGCTTCCTTGGTTTCCTCTTGGCTCTTCTGATAACTTGTAGTTTCTCCATGTTCCAGAAACTGGACTTTGTTATCGCATTGTTTTTTAAGTCCTTCAGCCTTGTTACCTGGAAGCATAACTGAGTACACAATAAAAGTGCATGATTCAAATATCAAGTTCTTCTGCTTTATCTCCCTCTATCCCCCGCCATACTGGTTTCCATATTTTGTTTTAAAATGGACAAACTGGATATAATATGAAAATTTCCTAAAAATATAAAATAGTGGAAAAGATGAAAATTATAGAAGTATTGATAAAATTCCACTTTTTTTTGTTGTTTTGGTGCCACTATGGAGGCTTGAACTCAGGAGAGCCTCCCGTTACTGCTTGTCATGTTATTCAAGGCTGGTGCTCTATCACTTGCTCCACAGCTCTACTTCCAACCCTTTTGTTGGTTATTGGAGATAAGAGTTTTAGATTTGTCTGTCCATGCTGGCCTT